TTTTCCTTAGTTTAGAACATCTCAATTAATTGATCATTGTTTGTATGATTAGTTTGAGGCCAAGGGTTTGCTCATCAACTAATTTAACAAGTGCTACCTCTTCTCAAAGGTATAAAATGTTGTCTAATTGGCATACATCATTCACACAACAAATTTTCTCTTTGCTTTTTTCCTTTCTGTTATTTGTCTCTTATATACTATTCATTTGTTTTCAAAATCACTCATTTCTATGGTACTTCTATTTTCTTTTATTTTTTCTTATCATTACATATATCATGAACTGTAACAAAATAAACCCTTTCAGTACATCAAGAATCCAAAGTTCAAAGACAGCATTTTCTAAGAAGTCAATCCAGAGTTCATCATTTGTGGAAAAAGGAGGTGATAAAGGAGCTGAAAAACAATCCAACAGGACAGCAAAAAAGTATTATCGTGATCCCCAACCTTATAGAGTACCAATAAACTCATCATACCAGAACCATCCCCATCTTAATACATCTGCATCAGATTCAAGTGTTACTTCAAAATCAAAAATACCCAAAGCAGAATCTTCACATAAGTCTGCATCTGAGTCAAGGCTTTCCAGTAAACTTAATTTCCTGAGAGCCTCTCTTAGCGCAGGAGCTCATAGAGGCAGAGATCTGGGTAATAATTCAAGTTCGGAGGGCTTAAGAAGCTCTCACTCATCCCAAGCACAACGCAGTGGTGACCAGCCAAAGCCTGACGGCTTTAGGCGGTCCCAACGAACCTCTGAGGCAACGGGTTCTTGTGCAAGTAACAGGTAATACGTTTGGTGTATGTATGTTTTTCTTTTCTTTTTTCTTTTTGTCAGTTATAATGTTTTTACTCTCTTTTATCAAAATTAATCTTAATTTTTATTGAAGCAGTCGGCGTGGCTCACAGACAAAGAAAAGGACCTGGACACGCCGGCAGCAGCCTAGTATGTCAACAGAAGAGTGAGTATCCAKACTTGTCATGAATATGTACTTTCAGTTCTTCATTTAATTGTTTTATCATATCTTTGCTTATTTAGTGGGTCAGAACAAGGAGCATCCTCAGGTAAATTTGTGGTCATTTTGACAAACTGTCTTCAAAGACAGTAATTTCATTCAGTTCATGCTCTTATAGGTCAGCAAAATGCTCATAATGATGGCCAGTCTACAAGCAGTAAGTACACTTTTATTTGACTGCTATGAAATGAACTTTATTGATTTTAGACTGTGTGACAATAGGTGCATCAGACAGGAATGATAATTCCCAATCAGATGATAATGAATTAAAAGACAGTGACATGTCAAGATTACAAAGTAAGTGAGTTGGTACAAATAATTGTTGTCAATCCCATGAAATTCATAATACCATTCTAGCTTCCTAAAAAGTCATTATTTAGGTCTKYTAGAGGCTCGTGGGGTGCCACCTCACTTATTTGGGTCTTTGGGACCAAGGATGCATCAACTTTTACACAGAGCTAGCAGCAACAGTTCCAGTAAGTAACTTATGTCAGTACAGATATSTCTTGAATATAGTAATATGTCTCAATTAAAAATGTTTACTTTTATCATGTAATGTGCAGTGGATTTTACATAGTGGTAATTAAGTATTATTGATGTGAACAATTGTATGTATAAGAACTTTATTTTTATAGACACAAAAGCACAACAATATCTTCAAGGAATTCAATCTTCTGATGAGGGACAGCAACTTCAGGCTGTTATTGAAATGTGCCAGGTAAATGTTATGTTAGGTGCAATAGCATTTGTTGCCTTACTGCTTACCACTTTTTACCGTCTCACCSTCTACGGCTACATCAGAGACTGACTTGGGAAATATTAGCTAAGTGTTTAAAAAWGTGTTTAAAACAAAAGGTTGTCCATTTCACAGGATTCCTCATGGRAATTAATAGATTGTCTTTGTTTTTTGATGTAAAACCCCTCTAATAGTCTCAAATTAATGGATCTTTTTCGTAATCAACTACGGAGACATCCAACTGTTTTTTTTCTAGACTTGCATCCTCGTAGATGTTTGAATATAGATGATTGCTGAGTTGTGTGTTCTTTGATGGGTTCGTGGAGGCATCGTATAGACCTAATCGGCTTCAACCCAATTCAARYMAHCCGRGAGWAARTTTCAYTGYWYRTTGTATTTTCATTTCACAGTTGAATTCTTAGAAACAAAAGTTCTTTTTCCCACAGGATTTGAATTGGGTGGCAACGCACTTAACAACGACGTTAGCCGATTAGGTCTATTGTGCTGCCAATGTAGAAATGTTTTGTAATATAACACACTTCTTGAAGTAGAGGCTAGTAGGGGCGATCCCTTGAGTTTGCATTGAAATTAATTGGGCTGACATGCTAGGTCTTTTAGTATGAATGTGATCTGTGTACAATTTGTACGTCAAAAAAACTCTCCTGCTTGAAAAATGTTTTCGAATTTGTATTCAATGCCATCTGGTATGTAAGGACAACTTAATTTGTTTAACAAAGTGGTATCTTGCACTTATCTTCTATCCATGTATGTTTTACATGTGTGCTGTTTTTTCAACAGCTTTTGGTGATGGGTAATGADGAGAGTCTAGCTGGATTTCCTGTTAAACAAGCTGTGCCTGCATTGGTAAGTAATGGCTATTGCCATCCTTGCTTTATCTTTTTTTTCACTATTAGGAGTGTTGTATTCCATGTATTGATTGTGTTAGTTTTGAGGCAGTGTGCACTGCTATAATAATTTTATTCATGGTTGGTTTATAGATTAACCTCCTTAATAAAGAACAGAAGTTTGAACTGGTATGTAGCATACACAGCCTGTGACCATGTAAAACACCATTTAAGAAGACTCATAATCTGTTATGAACGTATATAAAGCTGATGTCCATCACATTTTGTGGTATTGATACAGTTTTAATATAATTGAAGGTGAATCATGCATGCCGTGCTCTTACCTACCTGATGGAGAGTCTTCCTAGATCTACAATGGTTGTTGTAGAGGCTATTCCTGCTTTTTTAGAAAAGGTACTAATTATATGATATCAATAGTGTTTACAATGTTGTTACACCCTAAGTCTGTATCAATGGAAGGACAATCCTCATGATAATAGTATGTAARAAAACTAAAAATATGTTATTTTACTTTTAGCTACAATCTATAGAGTGCATGGATGTTGCAGAACAGTCTCTAACAGCACTGGATATGCTTTCAAAGAGACATGGAAAAGCCATTTTGCAAGCAGTAAGAGCATTAATCTTTTATGTTGTATACACCTAATTGAAAAAACGTAGTCGTGTTCGAAAAAGGTCACATCATAGAAGCTAAGACCGAAAGGGATTTTGAGTACCACTAAATTGGGATTACATTTGCATATACGGTGTACAACTGTAAAGCAAGTAGAGCTGTAAGATTAACAGCATGATAGTCTTTTATGCTGGAGAGCTGTTTGTTATGAAATTAGCYAAATTGTTTGTCTTCCCAAGTACCCTTTCGGTCTTAGCTTCTATGATTTGACCTTTTTGGACCCGACAACGTTTCTTCAATTAGGTGTAGTATTTGTATCTTTTCATTCTGCTTTATTGCTACTTTTTGTGTTGTTTAGGGTGGTTTATCTACCTGTCTTCTATATTTGGATTTCTTCTCTATAAGTGCACAAGTAAGTAGTATATACATATATAAAAATGTATTTGTTAAGACAAACCTAGACTCAAAAAACATTATTTATTGATTAAAACCTTACTTTTCTTCTTGTCACAGAGGTCAGCTTTAGCAATAGCTGCTAATTGTTGCTCCAGTGTAGGCCCAGATGACTTCCATTATGTTGCTGATGCAATTGAAATATTAAGTTCAAGATTACAGATACAGGTATATTTTGTATTTCCATGTACAGGATCTATCTATTTGTGTACCTCAATCCATTTTTATTTGTCATTTAAAGGACAAGAAAAGTGTAGAAAGCTGTTGTTTAGCATTTTCAAGACTAGTGGATAGCTTTCAAAATGACAAGGTACTATTGAAAGAGAGCTTCTTTAATTCACACTAGTTGAGTTCCTATTTTAGAGTGTTAAGCATTATTTACTGGAAGTGAACATTCAGTTTGAAGCCATCAAGAGTGTAGAATATTTACTATACTTTTTTTAATAAAATGTATCATCAAGAAGTAGAGTATAAAGTCCATGGTCATCTTGAATTCCAGTAATATTGCAAATATCTTTATCTATAGAAACATCTAAAAGACTTAGCTGCTCATGGTCTTCTTACTAGTGTTCAACAGCTGGTAGGTTGGAAATGTTGATTTGAATTTTTTGTAATCATGGTAATCATTTCACAGTATATGTATTACTCTTTCAGCTCATGTTATTTCCTCCTATTATAAGCACTGGAACATTTGTCATGGTTCTAAGGATGTTGTCACTGCTTTGTTCCAACTGCCCTGATCTTGCTGTGGATCTTATTAAAAACAGTAGGTTTTATTAATGAGCAGCCAGTATAAGTTATACATCTTGCTTGTTATTCAATCAGAGGTTAAAAATGCTATGGAAATAAATATACAATTTACTCTACAATTTAAATATACAATTTACTCTTAATGAGCAGCAATCTTAGCTAAATTCATGCAGAAGGTTTCTTACAGCATTGAGCGAGGGATGTAMACGGGGTATGATTATGAAATACTAACATTGGAGTCATTTTCAGATATTGTAGAGACATTACAGTTTCTGTTGTTTGGTGGTGTAGAGCAGGCTTCACAAGAAAATGCAGAAGTAAGGGCAGTGTTTTTCACAATTAAGATTTTTGCTTGGTTATCTTAGAAAAAGACATTTGCTGAAAACTGTGTATAGTGTGAGCATGTACATATTTACAAGTAAAATTGCTATTATTTCAGCTTATTACAAGAAGTCCTCAAGAGTTTTAYGAACTGACTTGCTTTATCAGGTGTGTATCATGTTCAAGTTACAGTATGATGTTAGTTTGCTAATATTCCTTTCTTTTATAGTGAGCTTTTTCCCAAATTACCACAAACTGGTAAGTAGTGCTTACTATAGTGATAATAATGACAAATAGATCTGTTGATTTAATCATTTTACTTGTAGGTGTATTTGCAGTGGATGCATTGCTTAACAAAAGCCAGCAAAGATCGGAGCATGGTTTATGGCAATGGAGAGATGACAGGGGTGTCTGGCATTCTTATTCCTGGATTGACAGTAAAATCATTGAAGCAGCCTATCAGAGTGGTGAAGATGAACTTAGCCTTGCCACCATGGGTCGTACATATACAATAGATTTTAATGCAATGCAGCAGGTTAGACGATGTTTATTATTCTCAGAATATCTTAATTCAAATTAAATGTCAGCAGCAATGATAGTGCTGATGAGGTGCTAAGAATACTTTATAATGTGTGTTATGAGTATTGTTTTATTCTTTATTAGATCAATGAGGACACTGGTACAACAAGGCCAGTCCAAAGATGTAATGGATCTGGTGAATCAAGTTCAACATCATCCAGTAAAGCAGACTCAKCAAAAGCAGACAGTAGAATAGCTATTCTTCAGRAGGAAACAGATTTGGACAGCTCCTATACACACAAGCTGTTTGCCTGTTTATACAGCATCTTAAATTCCTCGGTTGGAATTGCTATCAGAAACCGCTGTGTAAACTCCATTCTTAGAATGATTTACTATGCCCCAGCGGAACTTTTGACTGTGATACTTAAACAACACCCTATTTCAAGTATTATTGGAGGTATGCTGCAGTCACATGACATWAGGACAATTGTCAATGCACTTCAACTGGCAGACATTCTCATGCAGAAATTACCAGAGATATTCCATATTTCATTTCGCCGAGAGGGTGTCATGCACAAAGCTAAATCATTGGCTGATGGTTCCTTCTTAGAAGGTTCTTCATCACAGTGCAAGGAAAGCAAAAAGTGTTCCGCTGCAGCACCWGTATTGGCTGGGGAACCATATTCCTCTCATTATTCTCATCCAATACAAGTGTTTGAGAAGCCGCCCTCGCCACCATCCAGGTATGTCGTCTATTGCATTAATTAGGATAATCATTGTATTTTGTTTACTGTGTTGATTAAGTGATTGATTTCTATTTTTGTTCATTATTTCAAGTAGGATTAGTGATGTATTTAGAGGTAAAAGACGATCAAAACGAAATCCACGAACAAAAGAAAAATGTCAAAGTGTAATGGAGCCAGATTTGAAAAAGCAAACTGAAATTGCTCACCTAAGTAAATCAGGAAGCATACCTTCAGTGCCTCTTCATACCAAACCATCATTTTTTTCATCCCTCACATCATCAAGATGGAATTCCAAAGCATCAACATCATCATTGCCTTCGTCATCTGATGGTTTGCCCAGGGTATGACAATAGTCCTTTATATGAATTGTTAGATAAAATAGAATGAGATCTTCTTGAGATCAGGACAAAAGTGGCAATAATAATGATGAATATTATTGGATATTCTAAGGTGGATGTAAACAATCTSAGCACATTGCATGCACTTAGTACATCAAGAATGTCAGACAACAAGGAAAAGATAAGAGCTTGGATTAATGTACAAGGTATAAATTTTGTATGATTATTTTGTATGATTACTTGATACCTGTAAATCAGTTGATCATTTTCATCAAGTAATACAGTGGGTATATGGTAGAGTAACATGGCATACTCATGCCATCATCATTTGCAGGAATAGCAAATAGRGATACAGATAAAAAAATTAAATAAAAGACGGAGAAGGTTTGGCATGGGCGACTTGCTGGTTGAGTAACAAATTCTGCATTTAGTATGCACTTATGTGGTGCTGAAAATAAAAACTTGGTTCTACAGCTAGCAATAGAACTTTAGCAGCTAGGGTTCTTGTAAACACTCCTACCTAAATCAATCATCTGTGAATCAGTAAGAAGACATAAGTTTCTAAACTAGTATACCCTTTTTGTATAAACAGTGATATTTAGAAAAATTGATAGAAATGAAGGATGGGATTTACTTTGGCAAGATGTTCTTCTGGTCAAAGTAACCATCTGTTTCTACTAATAATAATTTTTAGCTATCAAGTTTTGTGCTACATACTTTGATGAAGAACAAGGGAAATCACACCCAGCATTAGATGTGCTACAGAAACTTACCACTGCAACAGAAAACCTCACAATAAATGTAAGGATATATCTATACTTAACAACACTGTTCAAATTWCAGCATCATAGAACTACAATAAAATTCACAATAACTTTTACTCAATTTTTTTCTTTTAGAATAAAGATGACTTAGCTGTGCTTAAGGTAGACCAGTGATAAGCAAAGAGGAATGTATTTTGGTGTTTCTTTCAATTTATTGCACATTTAATTTATAGTCTATCAGAACTGTGTTGTCTGACTCTGAAGACGGAGCAAGTCCTTTTGAGATTCTTCATAGTGGTTTAGTACCCCAGCTATTGAGGTAATAATATTTACAACATTCTCTATGTTGTCCATAAACTGAATGACACTGATTATTTTTGCAGATATCTTTCTTGTCAAACTATAGAGTTCTCACAGCCTTTAGAGACAAGACTCAAGAGGTTCCTGCAAATATTCATGGATTTCCCTGTAAGTTTGATTGTAATTGCTTGAATTGAATATAATCATTTTAATATTTAATATTACCAAAAATGTCTATAGGAAAGTGGAGATGTTAAAGAAATTGTTGTGGTAAGACATTTTATCAATTTTGCTTAAGCTGTCAGACAGTCAAAATGTATTCAATTAATGACCATTATATTTTTATTCTGCTATCATAACAGAATGATCCTAAAAAGCCACCTTTAACAGCTCTTGTTGCCAAGCTGCACTCGTGTGTCAATCAAGTAGAACAGGTAATGGTTGATGATGATGATAATTGATGATATCATGTGCCAACATTTTCATTGTTGTCTTGTAAGTTACCTGTTAAAGTTCATGATGCACCTACTGGCTCTAGTGGAGTAGCAGGATCAAGGTACCTCTTTCTGTGGTTCATTCATTTTTTTGCAACACAAGTATGGTATGTATTTAAGTCAATGTGGTTTGTATTTCAGAGGTTCGCAGGCATTGAGGTTCTTTAGTACTCATCAAATCAAGTGTCATCTGCAGCGACATCCTGACTGTAAGAGTTTAAAGCAGTGGAAAGGTGGTCCTGTCAAAATTGACCCATTGGCCTTAGTACAGGTATATCTTCTACTGTATTATTATAGTATTAGTTGTATTGTCCTTGAACAAGATATGTTTGTTTGTAGGCTGTAGAACGTTACCTTGTTGTTAGAGGATTTGGTAAAATCAGAGAGGTGAGTCAACCTTCTGTTCTGTTTAGAACTGTTTCTTTCTTTGTGATATAATTATTGTYGATGTAATATTTTTTTTATCAGTCAGGAGATGATTTGGATGGCAGTGAAGATGATGGGTATGTATACTATTTTTCATTTAGTTCAAATTAGTAATTGAACTGACTCTTAACCTTGTAATTATCAGTTCTGACGATGAGATAGATGAGTCTTTGGCCCTAGAACTTCAGGGTGAAAGCATGCCTAGGTAAGCTGTGACTAAATCGGTTTATTCATAATTAATTCATAATTTTATGTTTATTCAATGCTGTAGGCATCATCTTGAGATAATGCTGGGTGATAAAGTGTTACCTTATAACATGACAGTGTACCAAGCTGTAAAGCAATATGGCCAGGTATTACAAGGATATTTCAATTTATTCATTGAACATTGCAGTCATTGTTGTTAATTGTGTAACAGAGTGATGAAGACAAAGATGCAGATGAAGACCAAGGTGTACTTGGTAGACCAAGCATATGGGTTGGACAACACACAATTTGGTAAAAAAAAAAAGATTATATCCCTTATACCCCGTTTGATGTTTGGGCTGCTTGTGATGTCTCTGTGGCTTGTGATTTTGTGTTATAATGATTTGTCTCTTGGTTATATCATTTAATAATAAACATTTTTCTTGGTTTATAGGTTCCGYCCACTAGTGCAGAGTAGTGATTTACTGGGTGGTAATAATAAAGTAAGAAATGGCAGTAGAAACTCCTCCAAGACATTACTCAGGAAGTCCTCCAAAGATGACCTGGGTAAGAAAGAAGCAACCGTAATCACAATTTTGCTAAATAACATTGTTTGACAGTGATCTGTTGGATTTATTTTGTAGAGAAAGGACATTCCATATGTCAGGCATTAACAAACTGTCTTCCTGCTGATATCAGTTAGTATAAATTATTAATAGTCTTGYCGTGAAGTAGATGGAAGCAGTATGGCAAAAGATACTCTTCCTTTAAGTCTTAAAATTCGCTATCTGGTTTGAGGGTAATTCACAAAATATTTTCTTTGCAAGAATAGACAATATRATATCATTTGGAAAGACACTTCACTTTCACAGTTTGCTTTTTTGAATTTTATAATTGATGAGCACCTTTGTTTTTCAAAAAGCCTAATATTAGGAGAGASAGTGTGTAAGTGATGATTTTTGAATTTAAGATAACATGATTTTTTTTTTGCAGGAATCCAAGATCCATCAGTTGATGTGATTTGTCTCATGAGAATTCTTCATGTTTTGAATAACACATGGCCTCTTCTATTTGAGGTAAAGAATAAAAACATATCACCTAGTATTGTCATGTGTTTAACTCTATGATCCTATTGGTAGAATAATCAAACTGGACCGTTGGTATCCAATAATGAGTTTATCAATGCCAAGCTATCAGCCAAAATCCTTAGACAATTGCAAGGTGAGAGTACTAGTTCATTGCTGATTGAAAGGATGGTGTTAAATATGTAGCCTTTATCATGCGATGTTGATTGATATTTTTTATTAGATCCCATTGCTGTGATGACTGGGAATTATCCATTATGGATTGAGGAACTCCCCAAGAAATGGTACTATTTGGTCTTCTTACTTTTATATCCCMTGTTTCTTTTGTTCTCTCTGTCTGTATGCATTTTGTAACTTTGCATCGAATCACTAAATTCATTCCACATCTCTCATGTTACTGTTATTTTATTTACAGTCCGTTCTTATTCCCTTTTGAATGTCGGCAACAGTTGTTTTTTAGTACGGCATTTGACAGAGAAAGGGCCATGAGCAAGCTGCAGGTTTGTTTCGTTGTTTTTTCGTGTCGTATGTTTAAGTTTTTTAAAGAAATCTTGATATTGACGTCAATATAGGAAAGCGTGCCTGATCTAATAAACACAGAAATGTCTGACCGTGTTGCACCAAGACTTGATAGAAAAAAGGTAATCCTTGTTCTGTATGAGTAGGTGATTTTTTTATGACTTTTGACGTGAATATGCTTTCTCTTTCAGCATACAGTATCRCGAAATGACATCCTTTCCCAGGCAGAGAAAATCATACAAGATCTGGGTAGTTCACAGTCGATTCTAGAGATACAATATGATGGCGAGGTAGTTAARAAGGCTTCCTTAACGGTAGAAAAGCTTTCAACCAGCACCAAATRTACTAAGTATTACGACTATCCATAGGTTGGTACAGGACTAGGACCTACATTGGAATTTTACACTCTAGTATCGAAAGAGTTTCAAAACTCTAATATGGACATGTGGAGAGGAACAGCCGTAGCACCTCCAGCTAATGAAGGTTAATCTTCTTTTCTTTGCTTTCATCTTTTGTCCGATTCATCGTTTATCGAAACGTTTTCAGAAGCTACTATTTTTCATTTGTATTTCTGGTTTAAGTTATAACTTTAACTTCTTAATCAGTAGATGCCGAGCAAACGTACATCAGTTCACCATCTGGACTCTTTCCTGGTATGTTGTAAAATGAATACCCGGGGAGGGGGACTCCCTAATATCAAAGGGCGGGGGTCCTCGACGTCCCTTTTAGGGTTTGAATTGGGTATTTTCGGTATTTTTCGCTTAGGGTGGTAATAACGAGAATTCCCACCAACTGAGTAAGCCGTCATAAAATGCCAACGTCGTCATAACCCCCCCCCCCCCCCCCCCCCCCCCACCCCACACCCACACACCCACCCCCCACGGGAAGGAATACTCAGTTGGCTAGTAGATTCCTTAATCAGATGACATTGTATATATTAATTTACTAAGTGATTATCAAATAACGTTTCAGCTCCAGTGCCCAAGAACACTAAAGCAGCCCAGCTTACAAAATTGCGGTCTAAGTTTCGTTTCTTTGGTCGGTTCCTTGGCCGTGCAGTCCTAGATTTCCGTATGATAGACGTCCCACTAAGTGAAGCATTTTATAAGTGGATGTTAGGTTTAGAGAGTCGGTTTGATTACAGAGATCTAGAACTAATCGATCCTGTTCTAGCGAAATCTATAGGACAGCTGCAAGGTCTTGTTAGACAGAAGAAAAGGCTTGAGGAGGATATTAGTTTAACGTCGGAGAGTTTACAGCTTGCTATTGAGAATTTGACATTAGACGGAGCAAGCGTGGAGGACCTAGGCCTTGATTTTATTCTCCCTGGCTATCATGGCATCGAATTGAAGGTAAGAGAGTAGGCATTTCATCGTTATCCTAATCATAGTCATCATTKTTTTCCTGGAATGATTAATGTCATCATGATAACGGCTTTTCGTTACTTTTGCATCTTTTAGAAGAATGGTCGAAATATACCTGTGACAATCCATAACCTAGAAGAATACATTAAGGTATTCAAAAAACTTACGTGTGGATATAATATATTCTGCCATGGACACTGATATCTGCTTTTTGATATAGTTGGTGGTACATTGGACGTTCATTGAGGGGGTGGAAAAGCAGTTCCAGGCATTCCAAGAAGGTTTTGACTCTGTGTTCTCCTTGACGAACCTGAGCGGCTTTTCACCGCATGAAGTAAGTAACGAGTGGGAGAGGAGACAAGTTAGATGTTAACTGGGAGAGGAGACAAGTTAGATGTTTTAACATTAAAATGGCGTGACCGCGTATTCTATCAGTGTTTGTAAACGAAGATTTTGTGTTCTAGACCATTTATTCTATCATTGTGGTTATAGCCGATAATTAAATCGTCGTGTTTATGTTTGCTAGATGGATTTACTACTGTGTGGAAGTGGAGGAGAGAAATGGGAGACCAAGGGTGAGTACAATATCCGCCTCTTTCATATTATATCTATTATCCGCTAACGTGTAAGTTCGTTCTGCAGATCTTGTAGATAATTGCAGGCCTGATCATGGATACACTCATGACAGGTAATCAAACTATGCATTTAGCTAGAAATGTTTTAGTATATATTTCTTCTGCGATGACTGTTTTTTAATGATTTTTGGTATGTTATTTTCTAGCCGTTCTATTAAGAATCTGTTTGAAATCCTGAGTTCGTACACTAAAGAGGAACAACGACTATTCCTTCAGTTTGTGACCGGAAGTCCAAGGCTTCCCGTTGGAGGTATGGACCTTCCCTAGTTAATCTTTTAGTCGATATGAACGACTTTGTCAGGCAGACAAAGGGGCAGGCAGTGACAAAGATAGTCAGACAGACAGACCGACTCACAAACATACAAACAGAAATGACTCGATGTACGAGTTTAATTRATTTTGTAATTCTTTATAGGATTTCGAAGTCTCAACCCTCCTCTTACTATTGTACGAAAGACATTTGAACCTCCACTGTGTGCAGACAATTATCTACCATCAGTCATGACGTGTGTTAACTACTTGAAACTACCGGACTATTCAACTAAAGAAATCATGACAGACAAGCTAAAAATCGCAGGAATTGAAGGACAGAGATCGTTTCATCTATCGTGATTTTAGCATTTTTTTCCGATGTTGAGTTTGGTGCAACTTGGTTGACTAAAAAACTCGAGCCTTGTTCAAAGGCAGTGGCCTTGTGCAAGTTGTTTGTCTATTGACAACGACTAGTTCTATATGAGAGTTTATAGTGATCGAGGCGTTTTCAAAGGCTTCTTGTTATTGTTAGTGTTGTATGATAGCTCTAGAAATATTGGTAAAGTTATGATTATCATAATTATCAAAAACTTTAATAAACGTTACATTTCTCATCAGATTCCCTTCGATTAACTTTTATTTATCAATATTACAATATGAGCCTTGCAGGCAATTTTAGTATCGTTACAACACTCGTTTCCTTGATGATATTAATTCCAAATAGACGTTATGCACCGTATAAGGTTTTACTGTAACAGATTCTAAACATTTCAGTTCCGACTCGCAGCACTTTGCAATCAAGCTCTACGAAAACGCCCACCGTCACATTTCGTATTTTCAGAATTCCAAATCACAAGAAAAAGTTGTTACGTTATTTATAGTACATTCATTGGTCGAGAGAAGTACAATTACAGCGTAATTGTACTCGCCTTATAAAAATTTCTTTTCGGTGAATGTACTATAAACAAAAAGTCGCACAACCTCTCGTACAAATTTGAGGTTGTGCGATTTCCTATACTAATTCATAAAGGTTTATATTTGATAAAAACATCRATTGATGTCCACTAGTCGTTGGGACAATTCTGTACAGTAATGTTGCTGTTAAAACGCTAAAAATATATGTGCTGGAATAAAGAATTTCTGTTGGTTGTTGTGTAATAACTATTTGGTAAAACTTCAAAAACACCCAGAATTTTTAAAATACTTGAYCACGTACCCACTGGGACACTGTTTTGGACGAGGTTGAAATCAGATTAGTTTGRTGTTAGAGTACAAACACTTTAGCACTTTAGTCTTACTTTTCATGTTCAACTGAAAAACACAGACCTCGAGCCCGGAAAAYATACATTGTTTAATTGAATTTTATAAAGATAATACGATAAGACACTCGTTCTGAACAACAGCTGAAGCAGCGCTCATCTGAAATCTATCCATTTMATATTTTTTCTTGAGSCACACCTTACCTTACTTTTGTAACGGTCTAGACCCGCCACTCGGACACTTTGAACACCATTAAATTCTTTCACAGTACAACGAATGTACGATTTATTGAATATTTTTGTCAGGATCCGAAGAGTATGAATCCCTGTKCAGGTGCACTGTGTTGGTTACCCTGTGTAATTATTCTATCTGCGTACTCTAGAGGAGTGGGGAAGGAGAAAAATAGATGGGGAGGGGGAACGTTGGGAGGGGGTGAGGAGTGCAAATCTGTTGTTGTTGTTTTTTTCGGCCCAAGCTCTCTCGGGGAGACCAGGAACGCCTGGTTAGGATTTGAACCGCGTATTTTAATTCCGTTAGAACATGGAATTTGTTGAAGCTGTTTTGTACAATGATGATGGAGTTTGTGTTGAATATGAAGATGGTTCCTTTTTGCAACTATCGCCATGTTCATCKGCGTTTCGATATCAGGAAAGTCGATATACTCAAAGGCCTTACTTTCAACAACTCACAAGATTTGCCGTTGGCTCATTAAAAAGTAAAGTCATTTGTGCTGTGAACTTGAGAAATCAGTATGCCAGTCGACCATACTTATGCACAGAACTTCTCAGTCAAGAGCTGTTGTCTGTAAGTTTTAGATTGAATAAATTTGAATAATGTGAACTTGATGTATGCTTTAAGAACTTTTAAAAACTTAATTTTGTCTTCAGACTCAGTACAACGAAGTGTCAGAGTGTRCCTGGCCAMAGTCACTAATCTCTGACTGTATCACCCAGAATGATTGTGGTAGTATTATTGTAAAATCACTKGATGGACTGGCAAGCCTGACGCTCAGTGCACATAAACAATCATTCTGTGTGTGTTATTTAG